CACTAACTCCGTGTGAGTTGCTGGATGCTTGCCTAGTAGGAAAAATGCTCCATCCAGTGCAATTTCAGGTTTCATTGGGTACCCCCTTGTATAAAGAGAAAGATAATGAACCAGTGAAATAAATAGGCCAGTGAAATAAATTCAGCTTTTTCTTTAATACACTAACAATAAGGTTTGTTTGGTTTTTTGGTTGTTGTTGATTTTTTCTAAAGGATGGAAAAATATAAACATAACCTTCCAACTGCTAGGTATATCACACAGGCCATGTGCAATGTCAATTTGAACTCTAAGTGCCATTCTATATCCTCTACTTCCCTTCCAGTCTCATCTTCCATCATCTTCCTCTTGCTATTGCATTTCATTCTTCTGTCAAATCAGACTTAGAATTGCTAAACATGGTAGAGCCGTGAACTTTGTAACCTCCACTCACTTGTACAGATAGTGTCCTCACTCTGAAACACAAACAAGCTAATGGTGCCCGACTATCAAAAGATATAGTGGTTGGGGTCTCAAAGGCTTAAAAGTCTTAAAGTTGAACAAGTGGTCATTTGGCAGGGAAGCAACAAAACCCACATGGAAGAAGACGCCAGCATGTGTGATCATGAGATTTCTGCACGAAGACATATCAGAAATTTTTAAAATATGCAACCAATTTGATACAAAGAGAAGTGGGTGTAGTGGAGACCCAACGCCATCAGAATACAATTGACAGTCCCTCTCAGAAGGGTCACACAGAACAGAGGATAAATCCAGGTGGCAGTAAGGCACTGATAAACCACAGAACTATCTTCTAGTTCTTTAATATTTCCTCCCCTTCTTATTAGGGTCACTATGTAATACACTTCATTAATCAAGTTAAATTTGCCTATTTTCATTTCTACATTAGAGATCACTTAGTGTGTGGTAGTCAAGATATTGGATATTGGAATGAGGAAGATATGTCAGTAAAAATATTATATTAAAAAAAGGAAACATCCGAAAAGCCAACCTCTTGTTGTTTGTTTCAATGAAGAACTCCTACTCAGTGTCTAATAACTTCTTAAAACAAATGATTTAAAATGTAGTTCAAGGCTAACTTCCTGATGGTCTTCACTGTTCCTCCACGTAAAGCTGGCCCTTTCCCTGCTTCTTGCCAACCCACTATAACTACTCATTGTCACTAACTACACAACTACAACCCCTGTGGGATTGATATTTAACCCATTCATCTTCGTTTTCCTATCACTTGGCTCAGTATCCTGGTTTGGGTAGATGTATTGATCAATGGTAATTAAATGAAGGACAATGAGTGAGTACATTTATATGCCCAAGTATGTAGCCATATATATACACACAAATAAAGAAATGACATTGTACACCCACGCATATGTACACAGTGTATGAGTTAGTTAATTGTGCCAGCCTGGCCGATAATCACATGTGGTGCTGGTTGAAAGGCGGAGGGATAAATGGGTGGTGAAGCCTCGCCTTTCTAGTTCTTGGGTCTCTTGTTTTGTGATGGTTGTGTCGGGTGCAGCTGCCTTAGCAGTTCCCTGCTTCAGCTTGCAAGATTGACTTCCTCCAAGACATCCCCAAGGAGAAGCCACATGGATCTATCCCGATGCAGCCCTGGGTGCTGGAGCAGCCGTGTGGAGACCCTTGCCAGTGCTGAGATGCTTACACGTTCACGGACTCAGCTTTCCTCCTGCAGTCGGCATCATTGCCTCTGTTTTGTGAGGTGGAGGACTTTGTGGACTGGTGTTGGGTATGGGTTAATGTTGGACTTGTGGGCTTGGGCAGCATTGGGTTGGGATGTTTTCGTGATGCACCTTTTCTTTACATAAAACTCTCTCTTATACGTGAGTCGCCGTGGATTTGTTTCTCCAAAGTACCTAGACTAATACAGTGTATGTATGTACTTATTTTTAAATGTATGTTTGTGTATGTGTGTACATAATGGCTTCAGAATGTTCCTTGGAAAATTAAAGTTAAAGTATAATTGAAAGAACATTATTAATCCCCCTATATAAATAAACTTAAGTATATGAGAGGAGGTATATAGCAGCTAAAAATAATAGCTATGGGAGATAGGGAAAATGTATTTAATTTCTTTTATCACTGCTTAACAGATATTGTTATTTGAGCAATTTCTCACTATTATGTTTTCTACCTACTTCCTAGTCTGTTAATAATAGATGACTTTACCATTGTTATAAAATAAATATGTAAACCCCTTACATCCTTATCTTTTAAAATTTTAATAAGGAGATGCATATAAGACCCTATAGATAAATACATATTGATATATGGGAGGAGGTTGTAAAATATTCATGGAAAAATATCTTGTACATTAATTCCATTTCTCCACACACTTTTTGAAGTACCCCTCAAATATATATGTATGTGTATATATATACATATACACACACTATATCTACATATACATGTATATTTATATATACACAGATGTAAAATACATGTGCATGTATATATTTGTTTTTAATGCATATAATGTATGCGGTCATTTTTATAGTATGCGCTAGCGTAACATCCCACAAGTGATAGCACGGATGATTTTTAAGACATGTCCACCTAACAATGAATAATTTCTCTAGAAGAACGTTTTATACCCCAAGGGATTTCCTTTTACCATCTTCATGGGCAGTTGCTCTTCCACTCCAACTAATGAGCTGTTTATTTTGTATGATACATGGTTTCCTGTCGCAAGCACATTTTACTACTTAATATTGTTGAATTTCTTCTAGCTATATCTCCAGTATTTAGTCATTGAACTTTATTTTGATATTTTGAGATTCTTACAGATTTCAGGTACAAAATTTATCCAAACAAGGTACATTGAGAAGCTGACATAACTGCTAAATCTGTAAAATTAATATTGTTTAATAATAAAAATATTTTACTGTCTAAATTTATGATGAATTTCATATTCAATTACCAGTATCTGTGAACATACTTAAATTTATTTTTCTGGGATAGAGTACTACCATTTAATTTTGCTTTAATCAAGAATCTAACATAACTTTCCTTGCCAATTTGATTATTGCAAATATAAATATGTACAGCAAAATATGCATGTGATTTTATTCATATTTCCTGAGAAACACCACCATCTCTTAGATAAAACTTTTGCCAATTTCCTAAAATATCTGCTTCTTAATTTAGAGAATATTATAACACAACACAGCTGAGTATTTTCAAATGCAAAGCAAAAATTGATTCTAAGAAGATAAATATTGGATTCATTCTTGTATTGTCAGATATGGCATGTCCTATCTATTTTGCGGCCCCCACACATGCACACACACACCCATATGCACGTGGCTGACATAAATGGAAGCCAGCTCAAGGGCACCTCACAAAAACAAAATAAAACATTGCCAGACCTGTGCTAGCCTCATAATTATTGCCTAACAGAACAATCTCATCAACTCTTCCTCATACCTTCTCAACAGCCATTCCTAGCCACGAAGGCCCACAGTTATCACAAAGTAACACAGGTGACAATCATATTAACAATCTTCATCACATTCATCTTAGGGAATCCAGGAAAACATGGGGTTCATATAAAAAGTTTACTGGGGGAGGGGGAGGAGGAGGAGGAAGAAAATGAATGATGCTTCAAAATATTGAGACATGATCTTCCAGGCAAATGCAATACATGTTGATCAAACCAAATGCAATTCACAAGTAGCTAGTACTTCTTGGGCTCTCTTTTGTGCTGTCGAGTGAAAAATAAACTGTGAACGTTCATAAATCTAAGAACTGGTAGAGAGAGATAACTCAACGATCAAAAGCTAAGAGCACTCATTCATCTTACAGTAGCCTTTTATTTATCAAAGATTAAATTATTCCTGGTAGTCAATGATAATCTTAAGGATGATGAACCCTCTCAGGGTATTGAGGCAGTTTTACTTTAGAAGTATTAGGCTACAAGGTCTTAGAGTCAAATAGCATATAATCCTGAGCATCATGCTGGGCATAACTTGAAATGAAAGAATAAATTAGTTAGTTTATATATCTGAGCAAAAAGCATTCTACCTTTAAAGTGTCTGGTCATTGCATTGTAGCTAAGTTCAGCTAGACAGGCCACATATAGATTTTAACTTTGTAAAGAATGATCTGTGCCCAAGGACACTGTGTTCCGTATGACAGCTGACTGGGAGATGACTTAGCAGAGAATGACTTCCGAAGTGAACAGGGTATTTAGTAAAGTGAAATTTGTCTCTACTCTTTTCCAGCCTTTTCTTAACGAATAGGCTCAGTAGTTTATACAAAATGGTATCTCTTTTATCATGTAAAACAAACTTTAAAACACTGATTTGAAACAAGATAAAATCAGTAAGAACACACCACACATCTCTATTTAAACACTGTTAGTAAAAGTTCTTAAAAATAAAATAAATTAAATGATCAGCTGAAGTTCTTCCTCTCTGAAAGGTTGAACTCTGGGTTTTGTTCTTATTTTCTACCGAAAAGCAGTCCTTGAATTACAGCAAAATTCCAAAGACAAGTAGGTACCAACTCTCATCACATAGAGCCAAAACCAAGTCAAATCCCCAGGCCTATTAACAACCAAACAATTAAGGGAAAATAACTTTCTGAAATAAAATCCCAATGCGTTATTGAAATGCTGTTATTGTTACACACAAAACCTATAAACCAGTAAATAAATAGAAATACTTCTGAATGAACTATTTTCACAGTGTTAATTTGTAGTCTACAATATTAAAAAGAATCATTCAACAACATGTCAAAAACAACCAATCTTGAAAAGTTCTACTAACAAAGATAAATGGTAAGCACATTTCTTGTCCTGGAAAACTTGTTAATTATAACAAAATTATCCAAACATCTAGGTATTGTAAAATAAAATCAAATATTTCTATCATTAAATCTCGTGTGAAATCGCAGTGCTTACTTTTGCCCCAACCCTGTAATCTATCATAGCATATGAAAGGTCATTGAAGCAGTAAGTGTGCAAAACGCAGTGAATCACCTACCTTCATATAGGACTTTAAAACCTTGGGCACTCACAGCAAAATCTGTCGTGAACCACAGAGTGAGGATAGATCCTGTGCTTACTATAGAGGAGGGTAGCTGAAATCCTGATAATCTAAATTTAAAAAGAAAGAACAAGAATATTATTTATTATCAGCATGTATTTGTTAATAGGACTTACTTAATAAAATACTTTGTTAATATTCAGGCTGCCGTCTTTGTTTCAGGCAGTTCATCTACCAGTGGTAAGATTTGCATACATGCTTAGTTCCCCAGGCCACTGACTTGATGCTCTCTCATGCTGAGGCTACAGGACAGAGAAGAACAGTCCCTGTGAGGGTCCAAGAAGGTCAGTGTTCCTGGGAGGAGACAGCCTCAGCTTTCCTGGTTGGAACAACTATTGAGCTCCAATTGCTGGCTTTGCTGGTCGCAGCCCAATTTGTAACCTCCACAACCAGCAGTCGCAGGCTTGATGTTGTAATTAAAATGAATGATTCTCTAGTGTCAGAGGTTTTTTATTTTAAAAATATTTCAGAGTATTCTTTCTGAAAGGAATTATATAATACACTATTATCTTAGAGCATACAGACACTAACAAAAAGAATATCCTTACATCCTCTGTAAAAACAGATGATTCTGTATTTTTCAGTTCATTCCTTTCCTCCCACATGATTCAACAGTGAGTTCACATACTTCTTGATTAATAAATAGTTAAGACCTGCCCCCAAAACTGCACCACATCTGCATATAGTCACAGTATAATAAATAAAAGCCAAATCATATCTTGAACAGAAGTCCAAAGAATTTATTTGAACATAAATCTTGTTTATTCGTTCCGACTCAAAGCAAGCCTTTTACAGCTATCTATCTGTGTGTTTGTACAGGGAGAGACGGTGGTCCAGACAGTTCCGCTTTCCTCTTCTAACAAGCCGTGCCAAAGAATAAAGACCTGGCAAGCAACTGCCATACAGATTCTATCCAAGACAATCTTAAGAAGCAGTTGTATTTGGTCATAAAGGATTTCATGATGAGGCTGAGTCAACGCACTGTCACTTCATAACAGCAGCATTCATGTTTGGAAATGTTTAGATATGTTTCTAAAGACAGACCCAGAATACGTGAAACAGTGCACTAATTTGCAGTGGGGTTTTTTGTTTGCTTGTTTGTTTTGGTTTAGTTTTCAATTGCCTCCTAGTCGACTATGCCTCCTGGCCATTTCATGTGACGAGAGTAGAACTACCTTCCTTAAGGACCCATTCCTTAAGGTCCAAGGCTGTTACCTTTCAGAAGCAGAGTGTCAGCGTGCTATCTGGGTATATTTGAACCACCAAACTTTAGACTACTACTAGATGAGCACTTACCAATTTTGCCACCCAGGGACTCTAATAACACTCACAGACCAGTTTAAAATCAAATCACGTTTCAAACGCTCAAACACATGTTTACCTATTTGTATTTTAACAAATATTAAGTAAATAGGTATGTCTGCAGATATATTGTTTACTGCACTCTGATGACAAATGTGGGTTTGAAAGAAATTAATGTGAATGTCAACACCTTATAAAGGAAATTTTGGATTGTCAGAAATTCAGCCATATTAATATCTCATTATAGCTTCTACAGGTTGCAAAATCAATGACTTAAACCTAACCCACATAATGTGCAATTCTTAAATACAAAATAATATATTAATAAAGAAAATCATGGTCAATGAACTAAAAATTGAAAGTCATAGTTCATAATAGAATGGCCTCCCACATTGTTCAACTTCTTATATGTGATTTTGTTTTTCAGTTTAAATATGTAATATCAATTGGTATAAGCTTTATAAATTTTTGTTTTATTTTTTAAAATTTCCTACTGTTTGGTTTGGATTTGTATTGTCAATTATAATTTTATTCAAATTATTTTAAAACATTTACATTATTCAAATATAAAGACAAGTAAATATCATATTTCATCCATGAAATAGACTGCATGCTTCGGCTAGTATTGTTGAAGAAAATAATATGCTGGGTATATACAGTCTGAAATTATTTATTAATTCTCAGTCTTTCCTATGCTTTTACCATTATAGTGCTACCCAAACTGTGATCCCAGATATAGTCACATTGTAGTAATCAGTTTACCTTCCAACACAAATCAAATATTAGAGCTCCTGATGCCTGGTTCCCACAATCTTACCTTTGTATCTGCTATGATCACCATTTTCTATGTGATTACATATATAATTTTATGTGGATTCTCTTCACTATCAAATTATATTGGTCTTCATAGACAATACATAATGTCTATTCCTTATTAGCTAACTGTCTAAAGATTTTCATTTCCATGCTTTTATGTTTTTTCCTTTGAGTTCTGTGTAAACTACCCTCAAATATTCCACTGACAGGATAGTGAAAATGACTGATAGATGGAAAGAGAAATTCAGATTTTGCTATCATTCATACTAGTAGTCACTTTTCTGCATGATTTACATGTTATCAAATGCAGCATAGAAAGCAATTCACTGAAACAGATGCTGCTGCCAGAAAAAACTTACTGAGGCTGAGTTTAGAATCATCAGTGACAAATAATCATCAAGCTTGTAGAACTCAAAAACAGTTTGAAATTAAAGGAACTAATTAACATTTATAAACATACCACCCAAGAACAGCAGAATCAACCTTTTAAGTGCTTGACTAACCGAGGTTTACCATATCCTAGATCCCAAATCAAATCATAAGAATGGTAAAATGATTGAAATCAAGCTCAGATAAAACGGTTTTGAGAGGGAAATGCGTAGCACTAAATGCATATAAGAAAGGGAGAAAAGTCTGACATTAAGAATCCAAGTTCTCACTACAAGAACTTAGAGACATCAGAGCAAACACAAAGAACAGCAAAATATCCCAGAAGCAAGTTAAAGAAAAAAATAATAAATAGAAGAACTAAATGTACTGAAAACAGAAAATGGTAGAGAAAATAAATGAACAAAACGATAAAATTGACAAGGATCTAGCAAGTCTGAACACCAATGCTTGTCACAGGTTCATTCAAAATAATAAACAAAGAGAAAAACCAAATGTCTTTCCAGGGGGGAATGGTAAAGCTAGCCATAAACCTAGTATTACTCAATAATTAAAAATAACTGACAAAGGAGAAAAAGATACAGTTATTCAAATGTTCAATTTATAATTAAAGTGTTTTTAGCCATTATTCAATCACACTAGGGTAGAGAAAGGAATTCTTTTTAATCGTTTTATTGGGGGCTCATACAACTTTTATCACAATCCATACATACGTCAATTGTGTAAAGCACATTTGTAGACTCATTGCCCTCATCATTCTCAAAACATTTGCTCTCCACTTAAGCCCTTGGCATCAGCTCCTCATTTTATTCCCCTCCTATCCCGGTCCCCCCTCCCTCATAATCTCTTGATAATTTAGAAATTATTATTTGGTCATATCTTACACTGTCCGACGTCTCCCTTCACCTACTTTACTATTGTCTGTCCCCCAGGAAGGAGCTTATATGCATATCCTTGGAATTGGTTTCCCCTATCTAGCCCACCCTCCCTCCACCTTCCCAGTATCACCACTCATACCGCTGGTCCTGAAGGGATCATCTGTCCTGGATTCCCTGTGTTTCCAGTTCCTATCTGTACCAATGCACATTCTCTGGTCTAGCCAGATTTGTAAAGTAGAATTGGGATCAGGATAGTGGGTGGGGAGGAATCATTTAGGAACTAGAGGAAAGTTGTATGTTTCATCGTTGTTACACTGCACGCTGCCTGGCTTGTCTCCTCCCCATGACCCTTCTGTAAGGGTCCAGTTGCCTACAGATGGGCTTTGGGTCCCCACTCCGCACTCCCACTCATTCACAATGATTAGATTTTTTTTCTTTGATGCCTGATACCTGATCCCAATGACTAGCCAATGAAGTCCACTCTTTGGCCTCTTACCTAGGCTACTGTGAACACTTTTTAGTCCAATGCTAAATTGCCTTTGCATGTTGGCCTTTGAATTTAATTGCAGTGGATTTTCATGAGAAAGACCTGAGCACGAGTTAATCATAGAGCTGATCTGAGAGTTTCTCTCTCAGGGTTGGCCAACAATGTAGGTTAAAACCTTGGCCCATCCTGAACATCATGCTCGTTTTTGCAATCGCCTCATTCCAGATTCCACACATTTGTATCATTTTTAATTCTTATCTTGTGGACGTTTTATATTTCTATTTGTAATAAAGCAATAAGAGTTGATGTTATTATGAATTAGATGTTGAACCACTAACTTCAAATTTGATAGTTCAGACCCACCAGTCACACTACAGGACAAGACCTTGCAAGCCAATATTGGTCACAATGAGTCTGAATCAATCTGAAGGCAATGGAGAGGTAATATGCCTATCAAAGTAAAAAGAATTTTTAAAAAAAGAGCATTCCCTACTCCTATGTAGGCAAATATGCTATTACCTACATTATATGAAAACTTTATCTACTTCATCATATGCTATGCCTCAGAAAATTGGTATTTAAGAAAATTAAGGAGTTTGAAGCCTGGTCCCTTTGGCCCTTCATGATCACACAGTCAAACACCAAAGGCGGGGAGAAAAATCATATCCTCGTCAATGAGGGTGGCGCGTGATGGGGATCCAATGCCCATCTCTAGACAACTGGACATACCTTGCAGAGGGGGAGGGGGGAGATGAGTCACTTAGGGTTCAGTATAACTTTAATGAAACCCACAACCTTCCTCTAGTTCTTAAACGCTTCCTCCCTCCAACTACCAGGACCCCAATTCTGCCTTGCAGATCTGGCTAGACCAGATGATGCACAGCGCCACAGATGGGAATTGGAAACACAAGGAATCTTGGACAGATGAACCACTCAGGACCAGGGGTGACAGTGGCGATACCAGGAGGGAAGGGGGGTGTAGGAAGGGGGAATTGATCACAGAGAGCTACATATAACCTCCTCCTCTCTGGGGGATGGGCAACAGAGGGGTAGGTGAAGGGAGACGCCGGGCAGTGTAATATAAGACATCATAATAATTTATAACTTATCAAGGGTGCATGGGGGAGGGGGGCAGAGGAAGGGAGGGGGGCGGTGTAGGAAAATGAGCTGATTCTGGGAA